TGGGGTTGGTAACTTTCTCACGAGTGATCTTCCTAGTCCTATTAATTTGATCACCTTTTCTAAAAAAAAAAAAAAACTTATCTCCAGAGGGTTATAAGCATAACAAAGCATTAAATCTCATAGTAATCTGCAAGAGAATGAATGTCCCAATGACTCTTGTAGATAATGGATCAGCGATTAATGTCTCTCCGCTCCAAACTGCGAGAATGTTAGGAATAAAAGATGAAGACTTGTCTCCGTCTACACAAGGAATAAGAGCCTATGACATCACTCGCCGACAAGCTCTTGGAACTATCACTATGAATGTAACGGCAGGAGTCATAGAACATGATACTACTTTTCAAGTGGTAGATATTAAGGCATCTTTCAACCTATTGTTGAGATGCCCTTGGCTTCATGACCTAAAGGCCGTCCCTTCATCCCTTCACCAGCAAGTGAGGCTATGGTATCAAGGCTATCGAGAATCCCATCATAAACGAGGAGCACGATGAAGATGACGAAGACTTGTAGGGCTTTAACGAAGAGGTCTCCTTAATTGAGGAGGATGAAAGGACCCCTCTTCACTACGACCTCCACTCTAATATGATAGTAAATGCTTTCCTCAAGAAACAGGGACACTTTCCTATAATGACCCATTGAAAGAAGAAAGGAATAGCAAAACAAATAGGACAACATGGCCTCCCTAAATTGGACACTTTTGAAATTGGTTTTGAACCGACTCCGGAAGATCTTTAGTGAACCCGGGAAAAAGAAAATGCATGTAGGAATACTCATACCCAAAAGAAGACAATCTCAATGGATCGTTATCCTCTTACCCTAAATGGGAAATTCATAAATAGGGAGAGGATTATCCATGTTATGAATTTCCTGAACCCTTTGTCAAGAATGGGACAAGACAACCTGGGTTTGAAATATTTTTAGATTATAACATTCTAAATGATGTCCCAACTCCCATCCGTAAGGAAAAAGCACCCCCATGCTTTGACTTTAATTTTATGGGACTCCTCTTTGGATATGAAAAGAATGAGCCAACACATATCGAAGACAACTCATTGCTAATTCAAACAGTACTACAGAGTGATAACTTTGATCCTTCCAAACTTATTACTCCGGTAGAGGGTCTAGTTCAAGGATGGCGAAAGACCGTGAAGGTGATTACTTCAAGTGGAAGAAAGATCTCCATAACAACAAGACAAGGACTAATGTTTGAAGAATCGTCTGAGTAAGAGTCCGAGTCAGAGTGTTCCCCTATCGAGTCTTCTAATTCTTTAGTCGTAGCACCCTCTCCTAGTTCTTCTTCTTTAGCGTCTTCGCTTAGAACAGTTAATAATCAAGTCCCAACGAACATAACTTTATTTGATGTAATGGTTTCTGAATTCAATAACATGTAATCTTTCTCTTACTCCTCGTGTCATTCTTTAACTCAAGATGATGAGCATTGATTAACTAACAATGAAAGTTACAAAGCAATGGAAAGACTCAAAAATAAAACACCGGTAATTGAGGATACTGAAATGGTTGATATCTTAAAATATCCATCCATTAAAAAAGAAGTTAAAATCGGACTAACACTTAATCAAGATGAAAGAATTGTTTTTATTAATTTATTAAAATGATTCATCGATGTATTTGCTTGGTCATTTGAAGATATGCCAGGCATTAATAGAGAAATAGCTCAACACACAATTCCACTAATTCAAGGAATGAAACCTATAAAACAAAAGTTACGTCAAATGAAACCCGACGTAGCTCTTAAAATAAAAGAAGAAGTACAAAAACAGATAACAGCAGGTTTTATCAAGGTATCCAAAGACCCTGAATGGGTTGCAAATGTAGTCCCAGTTTTGAAGTAGGATGAAAGGATACAAATGTGTGTTGACTATCGAGATCTAAATAAGGCAAGTCAAAAGGACGATTTCCCTTTACCACACATTGATATTCTAGTAGATAATACAGCAAACCACACACTTCTCTCATTTATGGATGGAGACGCAGGGTACAATCAGATTCTCATGGAAGTAGAAGACATGGAGAAGACAACGTTCATAACACCTTGGGGCACTTACTGTTACACAGTAATGACATTCGGGTTCAAAAACACGGGTGCCACTTATCAACGAGCAGGACATTTGGTAGCTCTAAGAAAATTCTTTGAAAGAAAATACAACATGAGGTTGAACCCATCCAAGTGTGCTTTTGAAGTCACCTCAGGAAAACTCTTGGGGTATGTCATTAGCTCTAGAGGAATAGAGATAGACCCAACTAAGATCAGAGCAATCACGTCAATGCCACCGCCCAAATCCGAAAAGCTAATTCGGGGATTCATTGGCCGGTTACAATACAAAAGTAGGTTCATATCTAAATTGACAACAATATGTGTACCAATATTCAAAAATCTTAAAAAGAATGTGCCGGTAAAATGGGATGATAAGTGTCAAAAAGCCTTTTAGAAGATTAAAGCCTATCTCGCTAACCCTCCTGTATTAGCACTAGTACTCCCATGAATCCCTCTTAGGTTGTACTTAACAGTCACCAAAGAGACAATGGGGGTTATGCTCGCACAAGAAGTAGAAGGAAAAGAGAACGACATCTACTATCTATGTAAAAAGATGCTCGAGTATGAAATACACTATACACCACTTGAGAAATGGTGCCTCGCATTGGTGTGGGCCACAACCAAATTAAGACATTACATGCTCGTTCATACTGTCTTTGCAGTATCTCGAATGGACCCACTCAAGTATCTCTTCGAAAAATCTACACTATTTGGGCGAATATCAAGATGTATAGTCAACTTAGCCCAATTCGATGTAAGGTTTATGCCTTAAAAGGCTATTAAAGGATCCGTGGTTGCAGATTTCTTAGAAGATTTTCCAATAGAGATTCCACGCCTAAACATGAGAACGATTTTCCAAATGAAGACTTGATGGTCACAGAAGATGATACATGGACTCTCTACTTCGACAGAGCCTCAATCCAAAAAGGATGTGGTGTAGGAGTACTATTGGTATCACCAAAAGAAGAACACGTTCCAATCTCCATTTCGACGTTACCAACAACGCTGCAGAAAATGAAGCATGCGTGGTAGGCCTCGAAATAACATTGACATTGGGAGTAAAGAAACTTTGAATTTTCGGAGATTCTTTATTGATCCTCAATCAAATTTCCAAGAGATGGAAAGTAAGGAGTGAAAGCTTGGCCCCTTACCAAACCTACTTGAAAACTCTCATAAACCAATTAGAGAAGGTAAAATACACATATCTACCTAGAGAAGAAAATCAATTTGATGATGCCTTGGCAAGACTAGCCTCAATGGTTAGGATTCCTATGGAAATCAATCAAATTCCCTTAACAATAGAAAAGAGGCATAAACCGGCTTATATCCAAGCAATAGAGGATGATGAGGTAAACTAGGAAGAATAAGAAGAGGAAGAACCTTGGTATACGAACATCCTCAACCATGTCACAAATGGAAATATCCACCCCACGCTGACAAAAGAGCAAAACGAGCCTTAAGACTTTTGGCTTCCCAATATGTACTCATTAACGACGAGTTACACAAAAGGGTACCTAAAGGTTGAGCTCTTCTATGTGTAGGCAAAAAGGAAGCCCAAAGACCTATGAGAATAGTCCATGAAGGGGTATGTTGAACACACGTAAATGGCAAAATGCTAGTCCAAAAGATAATGCGCGAAGGGTATTATTGGACAACCATGAATAGGGACTGTCATCAATATGTAAAAAGATGCCCTAAATGCCAAATATATGCTAACTTGCAATATGTTCCTCCGTCTCTCCTCTACACCTATACATCACCATGGCCATTCTCAACGTGGGGAATATACATCATTGGAAGAATAACTCCTCCAAACAGGAGGCCATGAATACATATTAGTAGCAATTGATTACTTCACTAAATGGGTTGAAGCAAAATCATATGCTAAATTCACTACAAAACATGTAGCACTCTTTATCGAAAGAAACATTATTTGTCGATATGGAGTCCCACATGAAATGATAAGTGACAATGGAACTCATTTTAAGCAGAATTCGAAGAATTTTTATAAAAGTATGGCATTCAACACCATCATTCTTCTCCATGCAGACCTTAGGAAAATGGTGCAGTTGAGTAAGCTAAAAAAAAATTAAAGACAATCATCGAGAAGATGACAGAAAATTACAAAGATTGGCCTGACAAGCTCCACTTTGCTCTATGGGGTTATCGCACGTCAATTTGCTCATCAATAGGGAATACGCCGTTTTCCTTAGTCTATGGAGTGGATGTCGTACAACCTGTAGAGCTAGAAATACCTTCTCTACGCATCGCGTTAGAAATTAAACTCGATGAAGTAGAATGGACTAGAGCAAGATATGAAGAGCTAATTCTACTTGATGAAAAGCGACTAAAGGCTCTACATCATACTCAATGTTATCAAACTCGTATGGCTAGACACTTCAACAAGAAAGTCACACTAGTACAAAAAAGGGCTTAGAGAACGGTTGTAATAGGCTTTATAGAACGCTTTAGGACCGTTCTTCTGCTAAGCGATGTATAAAGTATAGAGAATGGGTCAATTAGGCGTTTTATATACTAACAAATAGAGAACGGTTGTCAGTCACAACTGTTCTGTTTTCCCATCCTATAATCGTACAATAATGAAGGAAAATAGAAAGGTTTAGAGTACTCAACAGTTCTATATTGCATTACAATAGAGAACGGTTGAGTTAGATAACCATTTTCTAAAGTTTTTTTTTTTAAAAAAAAAATCCAATCAAGAGATCATATATTGCATTATTTTCCTGCTAGTTGTATTATTCCTGTATTTTATTTTTGAAGATATTATTGAACTTTTTTCCTGTATACGTATAATTGTTGTATTCTTGTATTTTATCTTGTACATCAAAATCTACACTTCATGTGTAAAAGAAATTCATGATCTAGTATGAACAATTTCAGTATAATAGAATTAACCAAAGTCATAAAAATATACTTCATATAATTTAAGACATCCAACAATTAAATTTAATCATTCATTCGAAAATTTGTTCTATACAAATACAAGATATATATATATTTATCAAAACACCTTTCCTATTGATGTTGATAAAAATAAATTAAAAAGTAAAATCTAGCTTAGATATACCAATATCATAGATCTTCAATCCAGATAAATCATCAATGTCGTCATTTGCATTGGTTGATGGCATCCGGTAACATATGAAATCCATCTTCCCCTAAGCTTGTCGATCATTAGCTTTGTCAATATACTGCAAAACAATGTAAAATACATCGATCTTTCAGTAAAAGTAAGGTTTTTTTCAGTACTATCATATTAAATCAGAGCTATAATAAGTGAAAATATATTATAGAATTGGTGAATATAAGTTTAAAATCACTTTAAATAGGGTGATGAAAGCAATACATATAACGATTGTGAATTTATGACTTAGAGTAATTAGTGAGCATCCAAAACATTGCCAACGAAAAATCAATGAATTTATGATGCACATCTCTCCATCTAAACAAGAGGAATAGTATCTTCAAATCGGTTAAATCCTTACCTCAACAAAATAATACAAAATAAGAAACTACATGTATTGAATGTTGACAGCTTAACACCCTAGTTCAACTGTTAAAGATAAATTTATAAACTAAGACAGTTCATTGGAAAAATCCGGAATTTAGGATAAGATACTCACGGGACAATGCTCTCCGTTCTAGATCTGTGCACCAAGAAACTCAGCAGCAAGATGCTAAAGTGGCTTTCTACGAATTTCTCTACCCATATTAAGAAAAGCAATTACTATTTTATGGCAAAATCAAACTCACAGATGTAATTAATTATCATGTATTCTAATGGAGCATAATATTCTAAATAAATTAGTTCAAGAAGAGCAGTTCAACTTATATGAAAGAAAAAGCTAGATAAAGAAAAGAGTATGAAACAAGATATATACTTTATAAATTGCTGGTATTCTGCAATGTCACCATGTCTTTCTTTGGGTGACTTAGTAAAAGTGCTTGAAAACTGTTAAGATATGGATTAGTTGACATTATAGTATCAAAAGTAGGATGCAGATATAATCAACAAATTATATTACTAGTGTCAAAGGAGGGTCACTAACGTATCAACTATTCACAATCAACCAACAAGAATTTTTCCTTTAATCAACTCTGCCACCTTATCATTATTATAAATTCACTTCCATAAGATTCTGATTTCTTGCTCTTCTCTTTTCATAATCAGCTACCCAAAATCCACAAACAACATGACTACTCTTATACATCACTAGAATTAGATTTAATCATCACTTAATTTCAATAACAACATCTCATAACCAGCCCTTTTATGAACGAAAAGCAAAGCAAATCAATATTTCTAAAATAAATTGCAAAGTATTTGAAATTAATATAACATGATAACCTAGTGGTAATCAATTTCCCCTACCCCTCTGTCTTTATCTAATTAGGGTTGCATATTTGACCTAGGTTAGAGTAATTTGGCGATAATAATTTTGATTAATAGTGAAATTTCTTGTAAATCGTATCAATTAAGTGTAATTTGATTGAAAAAACTGCAATTTTATAGAATTATTTGCATTTATAAGAATCGATTGAATTCCCAAAAACTAAAATTGTGAATTTTTTTAATCCACCTAAAATTCGATCGAAATTACTGCAATGGATGAAAACTATGAATTCATTACAGCTGAATTGAAAAATTCAATTGATTAATACAACTAGATTCACAAACTCATCCGAATCAAGAAAAATTTGAACGAATTACTTGGAAAGTGCAGTGGTGGTGTAGTGGTGCGGTACAGTGAAGTGATGTTCAACAGTGTGGCGGTGGAACGACGGGGGGGAGATGGGGTGACGGTGGTGCGGTAGGGCGGCGAAGCAGTAATTGGTGAATTGAGCAACATGAGGTTTCACTTTTCATCGTTTTTCTGAAGCAGTAAGCAATTAGTACTCTAGTGAATAGTGATAGTGCAGTATAAAAGCATTTCAATTATATTAAGCAGCCTTTGAATAATTAGGGTAATTCTAAATATCCCAATGGTCCACATAAATATCCCTCTAATTTTTTTTTAATATTATAAAATAAAAAAGAAATACAAAACGGTTGTCAAGATGACCGTTCTGTATCATCTAAAATGTAATTATTTATTTTTTATTATTTGAGTAAAAAAAAAAAGAGAACGGTTAACTATTCTAACCGTTCTATATTTAATAACTCATAAAACGCCTCTTGCACAAATACGTTCTATATTCTTCTGGAGAAAGCCTATCTTTGATAACCGTTTTATATTTTGTGATCTGTAATCTAGTTTTTGTGGTAGTGTCAAGAAAATGAATATTAAAGTCGGAGACTTGGTGCTAAAAGCATTAAGGAAAAATGTTTTAGATCCAAGAGGCAAGTTTAGACCCCATTGGTCTGGGCCCTATATTGTCAAAACTATCTTATCAAGAGGTGCTGCAAAACTGACTGATATGGATGGCAATGAGTTCTCAAACATGACAAATCTTGAGCAACTTAAGAAGTACCACCCATAATTACTTAATAAGGACACTCAAAAGAGCTACGTTTGGCTTAATTCCATAGGAAAGGATACGTAGGCAACCCTTATAGGGTGCGGCCACTTTAAATTTTACAAACCTCGTATTCCAACAAATCAACTCAGAGCAATTTGCGCGAAAATTTGCAAACGCATCCCAGAAAAATTATCGCCTGACAACAGCAGTAGCGTCTAGCGACGAAGACAGCGCCGGGCGATGAACATCATCGTTTGGCGACGAGGACAGCAATAGACGACAAACACCAACGTCTGGCGACGAACTTAAATTTCGACGCTGATTTTTTTGCATTAAACAGGGCGAATTTCAGTGTATTTCGGAAATTTTGACTTTCGTACTCGAATATTTCCAGAAAAATAATTAAGTGTTTTCATTGCTTTAATGGAAATTATAATGTAAATGTTGATTTAATTTAAAAATCTGTAAATTGCATTAATAAAATAAAGTACAATTACATTATTGATGGAATTTAAATGAAAGCTCAAAAAAATAAATTAACTTAAAAATAAAATTTGCTTCTTTCTTCTCTTTCATTGTCTCTTCCAATTCTTGTCAATTTAAATTACATACTTTAGAGGAACTGCATTCAATTTTGGTGTAAAAAGTTTCTCCCTTAGCCATTACACGTACCATGTTTCTTCTCTACCCATATTTTCTTTTCTGTAGATTTAGCTTTCTTCTTCTCTTTGCCATATAGTAGTGTCTTTCTTTCTAGGCATCATAGGAGTTTTAAATTCAAATTTTTCACCTAAGCGTTCCTTAACAGGAGATGTCTTGTCTCCCAGACGATTCTTCACATTGGTTTTATTTTGATCTTTCTTCTTGTCCTTTTTAGGCCTATCAAGTAGCCAATGCTTAACATCCTTGGACAAAGAAGGAGGAACCTTTTAGGTAACAACTTCCCATAAAGGCCTAGCACTCCAATAAGCATCAAACCTCTCTACTTCATGTGACACAGGAAATTCATAAGGACGACGAAGATCTCCAGAAGGAATGGTTTGAGTAAGGCTGTACTGCCTTTTTACTCTACAGGGGTAATAGAAAGTCAACTTGGATAAGCTTGGAAGACGGCAGAAGGGTTGCTTGTTGACTCCAACCATCTTCTCAATTTTCCACCAAGGGATGATCCATTTGATAGAAAAATCATAAGAAGCAAATATTTTACACCACTCTCGGTGACCCATCTATATGGAAAAGCGTTTCTTTCGCCGAACGAAGCACTTTGGTATATATTTTTCAATGTTGTCAGGAGGACTAATTAATTATAGCCTCTTCATTAGCCAAATCTACGAAAATTCAATGCAAATAATTAGTATTACTATACTAAAATAATTTTTTTTTATTTCTGTAATTAAAAAGATTTTTGTAATTAAAAATATTAATTTTCTACTTGTAATAAAATTAGGGAACCTCGAAAAGGTGCTTTTGGATTTTTCTTTATTTCATCCAAACTAACAATTAATGGCATTGGATTCCTCCCTAATTCAATTTGTTCCGTGACAGACACTAAAATTGCTTGACCCTCACGATTACTTCCACTAGTGAGGAGATATTGGCTAAACATGCAAAAGAGAAAATCTCACCTCCTATAAACATGAAAAGACTCAGAATATGGTCTATCAAAGTAGTGGCGTGCAAATTCTTTCAGATTAACTACAGTTCCATCTACAATATTTGTTAGATCCCTGTCTTCAAGGTTAAAGAAACGCTCAAAATCATTATAATAATATTCACTAATATTGGGAATTACCGCAAGATCCATGGAAGGAATGCCTAGAATAGCACCATATTCTTCCGGTAAAGGACTAATTTCATCATAGCCTAATCTAAAGCAATGAGTGTCTGGATCCCAATATTCTATGGCGGTATGAATAAAATCTATATCTATGTCTACCCCCTTAATACCTTAAATACCTTCTAGATGAAAGAAATCAAGCTCTTTTCTCTCCCTAGTAGTCAAAGATCGACGCCACTCACGAGTAAAATCACTAAAATTCTTAGACATGATTGCTTAGAGAGAATTAAAGTTATAACTATTATTTTAATCAGTTCGAAATATACAAAATTTGGCAAATGTAGGGGCTATTTATGCACAAAACTGGTGCAGTTTGTTTTCCGAAAGGATTCGGAGGAAAAAAAGTACGTCTGCAAACGACAAGGACATCGTCTGGCAATGAGGCCTGTCGCCTGGCGACGAGGTCAGCATTTGGCGACAAAAAGTCAGGTTGACGAAAACTTTCTCGCGCTATGCAAATCATATGTTTTCTTTGATTATGACTCAATTTTGGTGCATTGACTTTACGGTTTTGACCTCTTTCAAACTCATTTTTTCAATTAATTTAAGCTTATGTTAGTCAAAATTTTATATTTTATTTTTCATTTTTTCTTTTTGGGGGAGAAAGTCGGATACCTTCCCTTGATAATAAAAATGACGGAAATTTTTTGCGTAAATATTAGTCACAATTTTTTCACACACTCACATGCACATAAAATAAAAAATAAAAAGTAAAGATAAAATAAGCATAATAAGTTTGTGTATACAATATGTCAAATGTAGAAGTCATATAATACAAATTAGCAAAGTCTAACAAGTCAGATAAAATAAACATAGGTACAACTACGGTGCTGGAGGAAGCAAGTGGGGAGGTACTCCTAAAGTGTTAAAGAACAAGGTAGATCGTGGAGTATGCCCCTCACCGGCCCCAGGATCGCCGACAGTCAGGATCGGCAGAGTAAGGCCAGGCCATCCAAGCTCACCCTGAAGCTGAATAGCCAACGGCTGAGGCTGCGGCGGATGCTGCGATGACGAGCCAACGTCGTATGTCCCACCACCTCCTAAAGGAGTCGATGGAACGCCTCCTTGGCCTGCCGACCTAGCATATGCACCCTCAGACGAAGAGCTTGAACCCTCCGGTCTCTCAGGTGGAGCCGTCTCCGATCAGCCACCCTCACCCCTAGAAGAGGTACGACGACGCCTCGAGTCGAACCTCTCTCTCCTAGACTCAGGTCTCGCCCAAGTACGTGGAGGAGGAATAGGTTGTCCCTACAAAAGTAAACCATGTCAGATGATAAATGAGTAAATAAAGCATGAGATAAGAATAAGAGAAATACTCTGCAGTGTCGTCATGGTGACAAGAAGCTCGATCCTTCAATCTCACCAGTTGGTAACGAAAGCCGTCTAAACCCCTCGACATCCTCGTAACCACCTCGCGAGAGAACTTTCAAGAGACAAGTCAGTAAGAATCGAAAATATATGTACAAGTAAAAGAGAAAACAAATGACTTACCCAAGTCTGGTGTCGTGGTATTAACTGCTTGATAAAGCGGTGATCCGGAGAAGCCAGAGGAATCATATCCTCAACGGGACCATACATCCCCTAATAGGTGATGGACACAAGAGGAGCAACAAACTCCGCACGTTCACCCTACAAAATAAACTGGGTAATCAATACCTACTTGGGGGCTATATAAGAGAAATACACAAGATAAAGAATACCTCATCTCCTCCCCCTGACAAAATAGGTGGTGGAGCCAAGAGTGGCATTAGTGCCTCTGTGTAGCATAACTACGGACGAGCGTGACTTCGCCAAGGTGTGCCCTCTAGCGCCCTACTCATCAAGGTCCTCAACCTCGCCTTATCAAATATATACCGAGGAGGGCGAGTGGGAACAACAAAAGCCTCCGAGGAGTTCTGAATAGCCACTCTCTCACCTAGATACACCAAAGCCTCATACGTCCCCTGGAAGTACCGATGCTGAGTGGTGTATTGCGGAGCAAGCATAGAAATGTCAAAATCGGCCCACGGCCGGCTCCTACAAAATGCATACTCATAAGACAAAATCCTTATAAAGATATAAAATGGCAATCATTTAAGGAACATACCAAGAGGATCAACTCTCGAATCAACTCTCGAATGCGCCTAGTAGTAACATCCGCACTGTGACGACCTCCCCAACCGGCAGCAACGGGGAGCTCGCGAGGCGAAGGTCTCGCCGGCGCAAGAAAGGGAAAATACTCGTAAATCCAAATCTATGAAAATAATGAAATGTCAAAAAATGACAATACAGATCTAGAGCTAACTTTAAAATAAATAAAGTGTACCTCTACGAATCTCCAAAAGCTGGAAAGTGCGATCTCTCCTTTGAAGGAACTATGACGCCTAGCAATTCGCAGTCTGACTAGTAATCCACGTAGGCCAAGCTGGCCCAATCATACGACCCGACAGTAGGAAGGTCACGAAGAGCAGGCAGATAGTAAAGTAGCACTCGACTACCTCTGTTAAGTGAAAAGGTCCCTGACAACAGGATAAGGGCGAAGATGCGCACCTGCTGCTCTAAGGTGGTCGCATTGTCCTGAAAAGCCGCCGCAAGCGTGCTCTGGCGAATGCATCTAGTGCTAAGCTGTTTCGGATCAGCCTCAGCATGAGCCCGAATGGTGATAGGGCCCAACAGGTCCAGAACCTCTGGAGAAAAGACAGTGATCTCAC